CCTTGCCCAGCCACCACAGGGGACATGCCCTGAGGCAGAGCCCAGGAGGGGCTCCTGTCGCACTGCTGGGCGCCAGCCGTGCAGGATGGGTGCAGGGAACTGTGCATGTGGGATTCCTCCATCCCCTTTACTTCTCCCTTGGTTTTTGTTTTGTTTTGTTTTTTACCCTCCACAGCTAGTGAAAACAAGGACATCCAAAATAGGCGAATTGTCCAACTACGTCAGGTGAGGCTCTGGCTCTGCAGGAGCACTGGGTTTCCTACCCAAGGTATGCTGCCATCTCCCGCTCAGGCTTTGGGAGTCAGGTTCCTTGGGACACTTCCCACCCCGCGCGGGTCTAAGTGCTCCTGATGTACCTTGTAAGCCAGAAAACTCCAGACATTGCATCAGGGGTAAAAAAAAAAAAAAAAGCTTGGCAGGAGTGTCAACTGTTGGGCTTCAACCCGCCCCTCTGTACCAGGTACAAGGAGGGATTCTCCTTCTCCTAACACAAGTTATTCCCTGGCTACCTCCTGGCAGGATTTCCTGCGTTTCCCAAGCACCGACTGGTGAGCACAGCCAGCTTTGGGCCAGGGCCCCTGGCAGTCGGCTGCTGGCTGCGGTAAACCCCAAACTCAAAGCAAAATTCTCACATGGCAGAAAGAAGATGTGGGTGCTTTGAAGTCCGTGGAGAGCGTGGGGCAGGGCTGGTGTGCGCGGCTGGGAGCGGAGACCTCGCTTCCTGCGCCTGCGAGCAGGAGCGGGGCTGTTCTGCGGCGGGGCTGTCGGTCACACTGTTCCTCTGCGCCTGTTTCCACTTTAGATCCATCCATCCCTTTGAAATTCCTGAAATCATCAGCCTGCCTATTGACCAAGGAAACCCTCTCTACCTCAAATGGATAGAGGAAAGCGTCCCACGGGACTGAGAAGTGCAGAAAGCACGTCGCTTTTGGGGCGACCGGGTGAGACACGCTGAGCCATGCTGGTCTCCTGAGGCGGGCAGCAGTTATGCACACACGGGAAGGCAGCTTGTATCTCCACCGGTTTGCTGTAACGGAAGCTTGGGATTGGGAATTTTGTTTGCATTCCAAACATCCCCTCCTCAGCTGACCCTGTGCTCCAGGGAGCACCGAGCAACCCAGAGATGGCGGAGGCCAAGGCGGGGAAGGGCTACGTGCACCAAGGGCCATTGCAGCATTGCAGATGAGGATACACACAGACGCTCGTGTCGGGACACTGCAGCATTCGGGGGCTGTCTCAGGCCCCC